GGTGGGACACCCCTGCCATCCCAGCACTCTGGAGGCTGACGCCAGAGGATTGTGCCGAGTTCAAGGCCAGCCTGAACTACTTAGAGAGACCCTGTCTCAAAATAAAAACAAGTGTACAATTCATTGGATTTCAGCATAGTCTCAAAACTGTTCAACAACAGACGTAATTTTAGGATATTCTCATTACCCACAAAGGACTCTCTATCAGACTGGGGACTTGGCTCAGGAGGGAGCACTTATGTAGCACCGCGGACCTCGGTTCCGTCTCCAGCACTGCAAGGAAGACAATGAAGGAGAAGGAGAAGAGCGGAGGCGGGGGAGTGGAAGAAGAAAAAAGCACCCCCTCCACAACACCCTCCGCAACACTGAGCTGTTGTTCCCAGACCGGCTCCCAGGAATCCACTTCCCATCTCCGGGTTCACCTGTCCTGGCTGTTTCCTGTCCACGGAGCCCACGCTGTGCGTTCTCTGTGTCTGGCGTCTCTCACTGAGCACGGTGTCCTCAAGGTCAGGCCACACTGTAGTGAGTGTCATAGCTTTGCTCCTTTTCCTGGCTGAGTAATATTCCATTGTATAGTATGGCAGGATGAGGAACAGCCTCCCAAAATACCCACATAATCCCTGGAACTTGTGGGTGTTACTTATTTTGGCAGTACTGGGGTTGGAATCCAAAGCCACATCCCCAGCCCTTGTTTTTTATTTTGAGATAGGTCTTGCTAAATCACTCAGTTATCCAGGCTGGGTTTCAACTTGTGATCCTCCTACCTCAGCCTCCCTTCCCAGAGGTGCTGAGATGACAAGTGTGTTCTACCTTGTCCATCCATGAATATTACCTATTATTGTTATGATTATTACAGAGACAGAGTCTGTGATAATGTACTTTGAACTCACTATGTAGTCCAGGCTGGCTTTGAACATGTAGCGATCTTCCTTCCTCAGCCTCCCAAATGCTGGAATGACAGGCGTGTACCACCAAGCGTGGCCTCCTGGATATTACGTTATAGAGCACAAATAATAAAAGAGAGAAGAGGCTGAGACCCAGACACACACAGAGGAGGAGTTTTGAGGACCCAGGGAGAGAGCACCCCTGCACACACCCCATACCAGGACCCCGGCTTCCAGCCTCCAGGAGTGGTGGTGGAGGCTGTCCGTGGTCAGCTGCTGTCTGCTGTTTTGTGATCCCAGCCTAAGTACGTGAGGAGCCACTGCAGTCCCCTCTCATCAGCTGTCTGGAGGACACCACTCTGGTCCCTGGGGACCGCAGCTGGCAGTCCCAACCTCACTGGGCAAGCTGTACCTCCTCCCCAGCCGGCAGTGCCTGCTGCCACCGAAGGCCTCACTTGTCCTTGGGCCTGCCTCAAGGTCACCCTCACCAGTGTACAGGGAGGCGAGGTGAGGATGAGATGAACCGGGAATACTGTGGGCTTTCTGCCTCTGGTCCCTGAACCCTTCAACCCCACATGGGAGCCAAGCAATTCACATGGCAAGAGACGGACAGAGCAGGCGGCCCTGAGGACAGATGGGAACCACCCAAGGCCACCAGCCAGAGGAGGAAGGGCCAGGCTTGTGCTGGGACCAGGCCTCAGTGTCACACGCACGTGTCACTAGGGCAACAGGACATTCAGGCAGAAATGGGGAACTCAAGCTGGGCACGGTGGCACACACCCGTAATCTTAGCACTCGGGAGGCTGAGGCAGGAGGATCATTGCAAGTTCGAGACCAGCCTGGGCTACAAAGTGAGCTCAAGGCCAGCCTGAACTGTATAGCAAGACCCTGTCTCAAAAAGACCAAAAAAAAAAAAAAAAGAAAAAGAAAAGAAATTGGGAACCCAGAGAGCTCACAGTGAGGGGCCCTTGTGGGGCTCTGAGGGGCTGGGCACCCCCATGGGGTTGCAGAAGGTATTGGGGACCAGCAGATGGGCGCAAAAATAAATTTAACCTTAATAAGGATGCCTGTGCATAGTTTCAGTTTTGCAAGATGAAATGTCCTGGTCATACTGTGGCACAAATGTACCTGACACTGCTGAGCTATATGTTTCAAACTGGGAAGATGAGGTGTTTTATGTTATGTATATTTCGCCACAATTTTCAAAAACATGCCATCCAGACATATTGTAAAGTCAGAGCGGTGGCACACGCCTGTCATCCCAGGACTCTGGGAGGCTGAACCAGGAGGGTCTTACCTATCTCTAGTCCAGCTTGGGCAACTTAATGAGACCCTGTCTAGAGATAATAAATAAATAAACAGGACAGCCAACCTGGCCTCCTCGTGATCCTGGTTGTGTGCACCCCCACCCAACACACACACCTTTGGGAAACACGGGCACCAGAGCAGACGGTGGGATTTAGTACGTGCTTCCAAAACATCACCACAAGCCGAGCATTTCCCAGCCTGGGCTGTCTCCTCACGCACCACGCGCTCGCTGTGAGGATCACAGGGGCACAGAGGGTTTGGAATGAGACGCCGGCTCCAAAAGTGACCCGGTGGCGCGTCCCCCTTTGAGCCCGCTGCGGTTCTGTGATTCCCGCCGCACCCTTGGCCCGCGCAGAGCCGGCCCTGTCCCTGGCCATCGCGGGACGCCGCAGTCTCCTCCACAAAGAGTCAAGGATTAGGCCCCGTTGAGTTTCCAGCCTGTCTGCCTTTGATTTTTTTAAAAAAGCCTTTCATTTTCACTATTAGGCATCTCAGGGCCGGCTGTGCAGTGTTATCTGCATATCAAAAAGGCTCCAGTGCCGGGGTTTGTTTTCTTTTTTTCCTCTCTGTTTCCTTGTTCTCCCCCAGACGTTGGTAATCGACAACTGTCTTTTATTTGTTTTCTTCAAGGTCCTCTATCTTAGCATCTCGCATTGTTGCTGGGCTTTAACTTTCTTCTTTGTCTGAAACTCGAAGCCCATCCAGCCGGGCTCCCTGACAGCCGCCCCTCTCCCTGCGTCCCCCGAATTGCGAAGCCCTTCGCTGCCAGCCTCAGTTCTCGGGCCCACCTCTAACTCTGCTTTGCTTCCACCCCTAGACACGCTGAGCTCTAATAAGGATTTTGCTTTTCTCTTTTCTTTTCTTTTTTGGTGATACTGAACCCAGGGCCTTTGCACTGAGCTACATCCCCAGCCCTTTTCTTTCTTACTTTTTAAAATTTTGAGGCAGGGTCTCGCTAAGTTGTTCAGTTGCTCAGTTGCCCAGACTAGGCTGGAACTTGTGATCCTCCTGCCTCAGCCTCCAAAAATGCTGGGATGACAGGTGTGTGCCACTCCACGCCCCATTTACCTTTCCAAAATTATTATTATTGGGGCTGGGGATTTATCTCAGTGGCACAGCGCCTGCCTGGCAAGCGCAAGGTCGTGAGTTCGATTCCTGGTACCGAGGCGGTGGGGGGGGGTTTAAACCCAGTCTGGACAGCCGCGCATGATGGTACACGCCTGTAATCCCAGCCCTCGGGAGGCTGAGGCAGGAGGATCATTCCAAGTCGGAAACCAGCCGGGACTACAGAGTGAGCTCAAGGCCAGCCAGAACTGCATAGCGAGACCCTGTCTCAAAAAGACAAAAAAAAAACAAACAAAAACAAACAAACAAACAAAAAAAAAACAGTCTGGGAAACTTGATAGTTTAGTAAGACCCTGTCTCAAAATAAAAGTAAATAACCCAATGTAGTAGCACACGTCTGTAATTCCAGCATTAGGGGGTCTGAGGCAGGAGGATCCCTGTAAATTTGAGGCCACCCTGGGCTACATAGGGAGTTCAAGGTCAGCCTGAAATACATTGTGAGACCCTGTCTCAAAGAATCAATCAATCAGAGCTGGGGATCAAGCTCAGTATAAAGGCCTTGGGTTCAATTACCAGTACTGGAAAAAAGAAAAAGGTCAGCATGGTGGTGCTTACCTGTCATCCCAGCACTTGGGAAGCTGAGGCAGGAGGGTCACTGTGAGTTCAAGGCCAGCCTGAACTACATAGTGAGACCCTGTCTCAAAAAAAAAAAAAAAAAAAAAAGGCAAAGAAAAAGCTACTCACATCACAGTGCCTGGAAGAAAAGGAAGAAATGGGGAACAGCGTGGGAGAGAAACCTTTACAAGCCACACCCACTGGGACTCCATCGCCCCCCGACATCCAATCACCTTCCACCAGCTCACCCCTGAGCACATATGTCTTTTGGGGGACATCCAGCTAGCAGCCCTAACACCCACTACAGTATCCACACCCCAGCAGCAGGGAGTGTTTATTTCCACCAAGGGACCTCTGTTGTCACATGTTCATCACCCAGGGTCCACAGCTGGCAATGGGGTCGCTCTTGAGGTTGTAGGTTCTCTAGGTTTGACAGATGTGTTGCGTCAAGCAGCCGCCACTACACCATGCTACAGCATGGGCCAGGACCCTACAGTCCTGGTTACCCAGCCATGTACCCCTCTTCCCAACTCTGGCGGTCACTGATCTTTTCTGTTGTTTTTTTCGTTTTACTTTCTGGTGTGTGTGTGTGTGTGCGCGGGGAGGTGCGGGGGAGGTACTGGGGATCGAGCCCACGGTCTGACTAGTGAGGTCTATTCCCACTTTTTATTTTTTATTTTGAGGCAGGGTCTTACTAAATCACTAAGCTGCCCAGGCTGGGCTTGAATATGAGATCCTCCTGCCTCAGCCTCCCAGAGTTGTGGGATAACAGGCCTGCACTAGCACATGTGACTTTGTGAGTGTGTGTGTGTCGGGGGGCACTAGGGGTTAAACCCAGGGCCTTTGCCTGAGCTATAACCCAGCTCTTTTTTTTTTTTTTTTTTTTTGACTTTTTGAGATAGGGTCTCACTATGCAGTTCAGGCTGGCCTTGAGCTCACTTTGTAGCCCAGGCTAGCCTTGAACTCTCAACGATCCTCCTGCCTCAGCCTCCCGAGTGCTGGGATTACAGGCGTGAGCCACCACGTCTGGCTTATCCCAGCTCTTTTTAATGTTTTTCTTTTTTCTTTTGTTTGAGAGACTGTCTCGCTAAGTTGCCCAGGCTGGACTCAAACTTGGGATCTTCCTGCCTCCGCCTCCCAAGTGCTGGGACTACTGCTTCCGCACCTGACTACAAGGAGCAGCTTTTCACCGTGGGTTCCACTTTTTATGTTGATAATACCCAGTGCTTAGGGGTCTGTGACCTCGAGTTTCCACATGGATAGGGTTAAGGCCCGAAAACCCCAAGCTCTTCCTGTCCCACCTGCGTCTCCTGTTTGCCGTGCTGTAGGCAGGGCGGCAGTGATGCCGGTGTGCTCAGCTCTGAATGCTTTCCTACGGACCCAGAGTTATCTTCCCAGCCTTCCTAGAGCTAAGGACTACAACGTATCGGAAGCATCGATTTTGCCTCCTGTCTGGAATTTCATTCTGTGAATATGAAACTGATAAGAAAAAGAAAGAAAAAAGCACTTTGGATGACAGCTGAAGGAGCAGGCGGGTCTCTGCATCGGGAGGAGGAAGGGGGGTTCTGCCCCGCGCCCCCTCCCAGCCTGTCATTGTGATGTGTTTGTCCAACACCCCTGCGCCCCTCATTAGGGACCGGTCCTCCTTGCGGCGGTTGGCACATCAAAGGGCCAAGTCCCCCGCTCCGGCAGCCGGGGCCTCTTTTGATACCACACAGCTGTAAATGTTTTGGTAAACACTCTTATTTTTTTTTCTCAGTTGTATGAAAATCCTAGACTCTGACATGGGTTTCAGTAGCATCCGACATCAGATTGGGGGGTGGTGGTGAAAGAAATGGAAGAGAAAATAATAGAGATCCACTTTCCTGTGTGAGTTAGTTCCTTTGTGTCTCATATCCCAGACTCGGGATGTGCTGACAATGGTCTCCCTCGGTGTCTCTCCTGGTGCCCCAGGACTCCCCAGCGGAAGCATTCTGGGCCTCGGCAGCATGGTGGCGACCCCAGGATGAGGCGGGGGGGCCCTCAGGGTGGTGGCTGGACCCAGGCTGTGCCTTGATCGCAGGGCCCAGGGTCTCCATGCGGGTGACAAACAACACGGTGGGTGATGTGGACGAGGGCTCCAGAGGCGAGCAAGCTCCAGGCCCTGCCCGGTCAGCTCCTGGATTTGGCAACAAGAGTGTACAGTTACTCCAGAGCTAGCTGGTCCTGCTTCCTCATTTTGTTTGTTTGGAGCTTTTGAGGTTTGGGGTTTTTTTTTTTAGCAAGTTTTTGGTTTTTTTTTTTTTTCTTTCTCTTTTTTTATTGTTTTGAGACAGGGTCTACCTATGTAGCCCAAGCTGGCCTGGAACTCGCAGCAATCCTCCTGCCTCAGCCCCCACCCCTCCGAGTGCTGGGATTACAGGCGTGCGCCTCCACATCTAGCCCTGTGGGACTTTTTGGCTGTTGGTGTGTGTGTGTGTGTGTGTGTGTGTGTGTGTGTGTGTGTTTTCCCACTGAGCCACACTTCAGTCCTACTTAACTCAAGTATCTCATCACCATGGAATCTAATTACTCCAGGATTTGGTTACTCTAGTAACCAGGTACTCCAGTACCTTCAATATTATGTACTTACTCTAGTATCTGATAGCTTTAGTACGGACTTAAATTCTGTATTTAATTACTGTGACATCTAGTTACTCCAGTACCTAATTTCTCCCCTCCCCACCATGTAGCCCTTTCCCATCGACTTCTCCCATGGAGGCACTGGCACTCTAGTACCATCTGTCCACGACCTACTCACTCCCGCATCATGCAGTGACTCCGGGATCACCTAGTTGCCCTAGCATCGCCAGTTACTATAGGACCTACGTACTCCAGCATCTAACTGCTCTCATGTCTGCGTGCTCCAGAATCCAGAGATGCTAGCATCGTCTGGGGCAGCGGTGGTAAAGTTTTTCCACTGCTATGACACAAACAGCCCACTGTGGCACGCAAGCCATAGGTTCGCCACCACTGCTCTAGGGCCTAGTTATCCCCGCACGCAGGAATGCTAGGGTCATCTGGCTACTCTCCTACGGGTACATCCAGTGTCTAATTGCTCTCCTGTCTGCGTGGGCTTCTGGCCATTGGCTCTAGTATTTGGGTAGGCTAGTGCCTCAGCGCTCTAGGACCGCCTAGGCGCCCTAGGATCTGTGCACTCTAGTCCGTGACTGCTCTCCAATCTTTTTGCGTTACAATCTCACTGCTCCAGAAAAACCTAGCCAGGCTCAGGGGTGCACGCTGGTAATTCTAGTACTTGGAGGCTGAGGCAGGAGGATCACTGAGAGTTCAAAGCCAGCCTGAGTGACACAGTGAGTTCAAGGCCAGCCTGGATTGCATGGCAAGACCTTGTCTCAAACAACAAAACAAGGGGCCAGGGATATAGCTCAGCGGCATAAGCACCTGCCTGGCAAGCGCAAGGTCCTGAGTTTGATTCCCGGTACCAAACAAAAACAAAGAACAAAAAAACAAGGGGCCAGGGATATAGTTCAGTGGCACAAGCGCCTGCCTGGCAAGTACAAGGTCCTAAGTTCGATTCCCAGTACCAAAATCAAAACAAAACAAAACAAAAAAACAGAAAAAAAAAAAAAAAAGTGAAAAAGAAGAACTAAAAGGAACCCTTGAGAAATCAACTCTCTCTATATGTGGAGGGCATAAGAAAGACAGGACAGATGCCCACTATGGGGCAGACATGGCCCTGGCAGAGCAAAGCAGGGAGGGACCCGGACCCACCCTCCCCACTCCAACTGGATCATCTGGATCATCTGTGCATGGCTCGGGCCGGGGGCCCCTGCTGTCTGGGGCAGCCACACCCAGGGCCTCCCGGTCAGCCCATGCCCAGCACAGACGTAGAGGGAAACTATGGGGTCCCTGGTGGGAGTGGGGATATCAGGCCAAGCTCTGCAGGGACAGAGCCCTGGGAGTGCAACCAGGCCCTCCCGAGTGCCAGCAGGCACTAGCGCTAGAGCCACCAAAGCCATTTTTATTCTTTATTCTGAGACAAGATCTTGCTACTTTGCCCAGACTGGGCTGGAACTTGCAATTCTCCTGCTTCAGCCTCCTAAAGTGCTGACATCACAGGTGTGCGTCACCCAGTGTCCCCTCGTGTTTTGGGCTCACCTGGGAGGAGCTGCCGGGTGTCTTCTGTCACAACGCAGGAAGTGCTGATATTATGGGCTGCCAAAGATTCTGGAAGCAACAGGAAATAAGAAACAAAAGAACCCACCAATCTGCAATGGACAGAGCAGATGCAGGGTCACCGGGGCCGCAGCACCCCACCCCCCGGAAGGGTCCAGCCAGGAAGGGGCTTCTGACGCCAGGGCAGAGGTAGCACAGGACCTTGGCAGACACGAAAGGCTGAGCCCCAGGCTGCATGGGCCAGACATCACCCACCCTCCTCAGGACCCTTCATCCCTCTTGTCCTTCTAGGAGCCGGAGGGCCTTGCCACAAGGGTGCTTTTAAACTCTGCTCCCACCTTGCCATCCACCACCAAGGCCAACACCCTGGGGATGGGATTAGAACTCACAGCAACTGTGATGGGCCTGGGATGCCTCTCAGACGTGGAAGGGACCCACACTCAGACAGAAGGCAGGGTCGGATGGAATTGTGCACCCCCCACGCACGATTTCACCTGTTGAGGTGCTGACCAGCAGGGCCTCAGAATATGACCTCATTTGGAAAAGGGTGGGCCCTAAACCAGTGACTAGGGTCGTTATAAAAGAAGAGATTTGAGCCGGGTATGGTGGCACACACCTGTAATCCCAGGACTCAGGAGGCTGAGGCAGGAAGGTCCTGCTGTGAGTTGGAGGCCAGCCTGGGCTGCACAGTAAGATTGTCTCTAAGTAAATCAACAGGAAGACTTGGTGAAGACGTGTTAGGGGAAACATCTGTGATGTATAAGGGAAAAGCAGGTTCTACAACAGGATCATAAGCTTTCGGGACATTGTGACTATAATCATTGTCACCAGGCTGTGCCCCTGGAAGGGCTTGAAATGGCATATATATTTCACAACTGACACAAACGGCTATCATAGCGTGCCAAGTACCACAGAACTGTGTACTTTAAATAGGTAAATAATACAGCATGTGAATGAAATCTCAAGCCGATGTTTGTTTGTTTGTGATACTGGTGGCAAAGCCCAGGAAGTGCCAAGCTACATTCCAGCCCTTTTAGTGGTTTTTTTTTTTTTTTTGTGATTTTTTTTTTGAGCCACGACCTTGTTAGGTTGCCCAAGCTAGTCTTGAACTTATGATCCTCCTGCCTCAGCCTCCTAAGGTGCTGGGGTCACAAATGTACACCACCATGTCTGGCTGGCTAAAGTTTTTTTGTTTTTTTAAATAGAATTATGATGTGGTAAAATAAATTAAATTATATGATTTTAAAAGTATACACACACATACACACACACACACACACACACACAAAAAGCATACACACATATAGTTAGGTAAATGGATTTTATTTATTTAGGGATGGAACCTAGGGTCTCACATACACTAGGCAAGAGCTCACCACTGAGCTACAACCCAGAGCTTTCTTTTCGCTTTTTATTTTACCTGGAGACAGGATTCATTAATTTACCCAGGCCAGACTCCAACTATGATCCTCCTGCCTCAGCCTGCTTCAGCCTCCTTGTACTAGGATTACCGGCATGTGTCAGCATGGCTGGCTCCAAAGAAGGCTTTAGAAAGGCCTCACCTTTCCTGGGCCCAGGGAAGTGATGTGCCCCCCTTGGACAGGTGGGGATGCCAGGCTGCAGGTGGAGGAGACACAGTCTGCTGTCCCCGAGCCGGGAAAGGGAGGCTGTGAAAGCCCCTGCTGGTGAGCAAGCCTGGTGGGAAGCAGGTTCCTGTGTGGTGCCATTTGCAAAACTGTGGAGCTTGCAGTGGGGATGGGGGGCCCCCGGCTTCCCCTGTGGCATGGGGCTGCCCATGCCACATGCTGTAACCCCCGAGTCCTGAGTCCCCAGCAACTCTAGGGTCCCAGGGGGACAGACATTCCCAGTGGCAGGGGGTGGCAGCTGCAGCTGGGAGCCAGGCTCACTGAGAGAGGCCAGGCCCAGGTCCTCACCCTGCCCCTTCCTGAGGGGACCCCTGGCTGATGGCAAGGGCCACCCGGTCCCTCAGTCAGGGAAACACACAGGACAAGCCCCAGCAGGCCCAGGAGCACAGCAGAGGTGGCCACCAGGACCAGGGATGGGTGGTGGGATCTGACAGAGAAACAACGAAATGATTTACTGCACGTCTTTGTCCTTCTGGCTCAGGGTGTCCTTATGAAGCTACTCACGGTGACGCACTGCCTGACCCCAGTGAATGTCCCTGTGTTCAGCGTTTCTTCCAAATTTGCCTCAAAAATATTCTAAAAAGGAGAAAGTACAGCTGGGTGTGGTGATACATCTGTGACCCCAGCACTCTGAGAGGCTGAGGCAAGAGGATCACCATAGTTTTGAGGCCAGCCTAGGCTACACAGTGAACTATATAGCAAGATCTTATCTCAAAAAGTTGTATCTCCATAAAGCTACAAAAAATATGAGTGCCGGGCATGGTGGCACACACCTGTAATCCCAGGACTCAGGAGGCTGAGGCAGGAGGATCATTGCAAGTTCAAGACCAGCCTGGGCTACAAAGTGAGCCAGAGGCCAATCTGAACTGCATAGTGAGACCCTGTCTCCAAAATGACAAAAAAAGTCTAACAAATAAAAAATATGAGACTATAAGTCGTTGGAGGAGGGAGGAAGGGGATGTAAAAAGAATTCAGCTGTGTTGTGTTCGTGTACCAGCTCCCCACGAGGAATGCCAGTCCTGCAAATGTGTAGTAAAATAAAAAGAAAAAAGGAAGAAAGCGAGCAACAGAAACCCAAGAAAAATAAGGGAAGGCAAAAAAACCTCTTTGCCACTAACATGAAATTCAAATTGAGCCAGGACGGGGAGTGTTGTGTTTTATCTGGCATTCTATGGCCAGATGTTGAAGTGACTGCTGTCTATCACCACCATCCAGATGTTCTCTGCAGAGAACCAGATAGCAGTATTTTCAGTGGAACCAGACGGTGGCCTCCGTGACCATAGGCACATGTTTATGGCCCCAATCTGAGAAAATTGGGATTGAAAGACACTGAAATTTGAATTTCATATCATTTCTACCTGTCACAAAATCGTCTGTTTTTTGGTGGGGTTTTTTTTTTCCATTTCATTTCTTTCTCTTTTTGTTTTTTCAGGGCTGGGGGTGGAACCCAGGCTTCATGCTTGCTAGGCAAGTACCCGCCACTGAGCCAGCCCCTATTCTTCTTTTTAAAAAATTTCTTCCATCACTCACAGTGAGGCCCTGTCTCAGGAAAAAAAAAAAAAAAAAAAAAAAAAAAAAAAGTGCCGTTTGCTTGAGAGCTCTACAAAAACAGGCAGTGGGCTGGTTTTACCCAAGAGCTGAAATTTCCCAAGCTGGAATTTGCCAAGGACCAGAAAGAGCCTCTCACTAAGTGCAAATGCATATTTATTATTTGTTCAATTGTTTTTGTTTTTGATTAGTTTTGTTTTGGTTTTTTGAGACAGCATCTTACTTTGTAGCTCAGGCTGGCCTGGAATTCACTATGATCTTCCTGCCTCAGCCTCCTGAGTGCTGGGATGACAGGTGTGCACCGCCCTGCCCAGCGTGGAGAGGAGTTTTAGAGAGAAGCCACGAAACAACAGGCCAGGGTCCTCTGCGGTGCAGCAGGAAGGAAGCAGACGTGGGCCACTCCACCTGGGCCCCGGTTGGCCTCTAGGTGACAATCAGAAAGACCCTGTGTGGCTGGAGGCTGCCTTCCACTAGGGCAGCAGGAGGTCCAGGCGGGGCCCCCTCCCTCTAGGATTCACAGCCAGGTGACGGCAGCAAACAAGGGCCTCTGCAAGTGTGAACACAGCACCCTAGACATCGATCCTGTCTGCGGGCAGGGCTCACACCTCCAGGGTAGGTCTTGATCCCAATCGTCCTGGATGTGCAGGGCAGGCCGAGGGGCACCCTGGCCTCAGGGGGCACACGGGCTGGTGTGTAATGCACATCCGGGACTGCCCCCCCCCCAGGCAATTAGCAGACTGAGCTATGAATCATTGATCCTCACTGGGCGCGGCTGCTCATCCATCACCACGCTGCTGGCCTGATTATGCATTCGTGGTGGGAGAGGAAATGCGCTCTCCCTGCCTCCTGTTTTATTCATGGACCTGGGCTCCCCGGTTATGAGTTTTTAGCAGGAAAGCGAGGCCAACATGAGCAGCGTGCATAGTGCCGGTTACCTGTGTCCCCGATGGCGCCTGGGACTTTCTTTACAATTTATTTATTTATTTGGTTTTTTTTTTTTTTTTTTTTTTTTTTTTTTTTTTTTTGTACTGGGAATCGAACTCAAGACCTTGTGCCACTGAGCTACATCCCTAGCCCCTTTTTTTTTTATTTGGCTTTTTGAGACAGGGCTTCACCATGCTGTTCAAACTGGCCTTCAACTCACTTTGTAGCTCAGGCTGGGCTCAAACTCAAAGCAATCCTCTTGCCTCAGCCTCCCAAGTCCTACGATTACAGGCATGTGCCATCATGCCAGGCCTTCTTTGCAATTTAGAGCAAAGGAGAGCTGGGCTTGGTGTCGAACACCTGTCATGCCACCACCTCGGACACTGAGGCAGGAGGATCGTCATGCCAAGCATGAGGTCATGAGTTTGATTCCCGGTACCGGAAAAAAACAAAAAACAACAACAAAAAAAAACAAGGCCAAACTGAACTGCATAGCGAGACCCTGTCTCAAAAAGACAAAAAAATAATAATAAAATAAACTAAAACGGGCTGGGGTTAGAGTTTCTTGCGAAGGCCCTGGATTCCATCCCCAGGACTGAAACAAAACAAGCTGTCCAGCAGCCCTGGATGCCGCTGGCTTGCACCAGTCCTATGGATCCGAGCGCCACCACGGCTGTCACCCTGGTCTTGCCGAGAGGGAGGAAAGAAAGTGTCCTCTCCTGTCTCCCAGAGGGGATGGGCAGAGTGGCAACAAAGGCAGCTGCCTGGAAGACCCTTCGGCTCTGGTTTCCACAGCTGCCCCGGGGACTGGGGAGGGCAGAAAACGCAGGGCGACAGGAGGCTTTGTGCGCCCAGTGCAGCGCAGAGGGGGAGGCCGGGCTCTCTGCAGCCGTGTCCATCTGATTTCGGGGGACAGAGCCTGGGAGGCGCAGC